TTATTATTCAAATCAACCTTTCAAACATGCAAGTGCTGATTTAAAGAGTTGTAATAAAAACCTATTGCCCATTAAATGAAAATCAAAAAGGTTTGATGACTTCAGTTCAACTTTTGCAGAACCGTTATGCGTAATTATGACCAAATAGTAAAATATAACACAAAATAAAAAATGATGTAACTGCCAGTAATGTACAATAATCATCATTATCATCATCATTATTATTACTTATTTTGGGGGAGTTTGATGTTGTGAGCATTTGTAGTCTAATTATCAACACTTGCAAGAAAATGATGATATTATGCAGAGAAATAAAGATAAGATACAAAAATAGATAAAAGCAAGCCTGAAAACATTAATCTGAATTAACACAAGAAACTTTTTGACTAGCTAGGTAATTGCTTTGGAGAAATAGAGTCTAAAAAATGAAATAATTAAATTAAATTAATAAATGAGGAAAAATGCACCTCATTAGCTCACACAACACGCACACACACACACAAATAAACTGAAACGATCACTCAGTCCATTATGTTCCAGTCCAAGCCTTTTGGGAKAGTAGAACAAAGACAAAGGAGTTAATTAATTATCTTTATAATGAAACATCAACATGTAAATCAAAACAGGAAGTTGGAGAAGTTTTCTTGTTTCAAACATGCTATTCTCAAGGTAAAACTGAAAAGAGACACAGAGACGAGCAGTAACGTGCAGTGACGTTGTTGTATGTTTGCTGTGCAGAGATCCGTGAGGCGTTCCGCGTTTTGGATCGAGATGGGAACGGTTTCATCTCCAAACAGGAGCTGGGGATGGCCATGCGCTCGCTGGGTTACATGCCCAGTGAGGTGGAGCTGGCCATCATCATGCAGAGACTGGACATGGATGGTGAGACGCTGCACCAGTGTGCACAGAACACAAAGAAACATATGGAGGACATGTCACTGTTGATCATAAATGTCTGTATGTTGTATATGAAAATATGTGACTCATCACATCAAACTGAGGATTATATAAAATTTTGTGAAAATGACCTAAGCTTATTTTCAGATTCTGGCTTGTTAAAGGGGACATACAGTGGTTTGCAAAAGTATTCATACCCCTTGAACTTTTCCATATTTTGTCACATTACAACCACAAACATAAATATATTTCACTGGAATTT